TCAAGATAAGATTGCCGTTTCAGTCATATGAAGGAGTTGTGGTTTGAAGTTTTCTCAATTTAGCGCTATTCAGACAGGTTTCTAAGTTTACCAGTAGGTCGTATAATAATGGTTAACAGTTAAAATTCCTTTTCTCTATATCTAGAAGTGGAAACAAATATTAGGGCTTTAATGTTTCAGACATAAGGATGAAGTCAGAAGCTGGGGAGCACACAGAGTTACAGACGCACAGCATAACTATGCTGTGTATTGCTATTAAACCACCTTCACGTATTCTACCAGTAGCTGGCCATGAACAGCAGAAAAGAAAAAGAGGGAATACATTTGATACCCTAAGCAGAGTTTTTTTGATATATGAATCCTTAAACATGAAACAGCTGAAATTTGAAATCTGTACCATAATGAGTTCTGTGTTGTAAGTTAGTAAATCTTAATTTCAGGTTTTTTCTAATAAAAGTCATTAGAATGGCTTGGCTACATTAGTCTAATATTTTTTTATCTACATCATCTTTTCCTCCAAACCATACACACTCAGGTACCCATCACCTCACCTCTAGTTATAACTGTTTTAAAAAGAAAATACTTAAGTTAAATAGTCTTTCTTTGAGCTGTAGTTCCAGATTAGCAGAAATACTTATATCAAAAGGTAAATAAAATAACAGTTCTGTTGTTTCTCTCCTATAGCCAGAATAATAGAAAATAACTATGAATAGGAGGTAGTGTAGTATAAGTAGTCTTTCAAGCCCTATGTGTTTTGTAGAAATTTTTCAAGGGCTTGTTATTTCTTTTTAACAAGATATGTTTTGGATTACTTTAGGTGCTGAAAAGACTGACCTATTTTATCATTCTTCTGGTGGACTGGAGCTATATGGAGAACCGAGACATACTACATATCGCTCAAGATCAGATCTGGACTATCCTCGGTCTCCTTTACCATTTCAAAATAGGTAAGAATTTGAAAAATCCTGCCTAGAATAGTTAAATATACTAATACTTAACAGAGGCCAAGGACAGTGCTATAGCTTTGACCTCTTTGCACTGAAATGCTAGATGTTTCTTCAGTTTTATGTGATTTACATAATCTAAAGCTCATAATCAAAAATAGCTTCTGAATTTGTAACTGGTTTCCAAGAATATAGAGCTGATCAAGTGTAATTTAGGGTATGCTTTGGGTTAGACATTGGGAAAAATATTGAGTAAAATTGATAGTCTCTGGACATTATGAAAAAAACTCTAAAGTCTACATGTCAAGATGCATTTATACATATGCAGCATTTTTTCAGTCCCCTATGATAGGCATTATACTGGACAGTCTTATGACAACTTAGTAGCTGCTGCTTTGAATTTATTGATTAGTTTTTTTTCCTTTCTACAATGCAAACTCAGAAGTATGGGGCTATAGATCAGGCAGTGTACAAGTGGTCTACCTTTTAAGGGCAAGATGGAGGCTGATTGGTAAGTTACTTGCCTTGTTTCTGGATAATTTGAATTCTCGTTTATATTTTTGATCTCATAGGTACCCAGGCCCTCCAGCTGATTTAAATCCTGGTTCCTTAGCATGTTCTCAGCTTCAGAATTATGATCCCGACAGAGCCCTAACGGATTATATCACTCGGCTAGAGGCACTACAAAGACGACTTGGAACTGTACCAGCAGGTACTCTCAGCTTAACCAAGTAGTAACAGCACCATACTGCTAGATAAGACCCATAGCTCTCCTTTCTCTTTTTGAAAGTCCTTGACATCGCTCATTAGGACAGTCAAATCTTAGAGTTCAGTACATCAGTTACCAGGTTAGACTTAGGAATTTAAGTCAGGCTGTGATTTACCACCCCAGATCCTACTCCCCTAGACAAGATTCCCTGCTGTCTTCATTTAGCAGGTTGATTAGACAAACTGTACAGTGGGCACCAAAGTGCAAAGTACCCTGAGGCTCACAGAGTCAGCTGGAGGACATGTTCCTAAATAATACGTGTTCCAAATAATGCATGCGGATCAGGGGTAGGGATGTGAGAGCACTTAATGCAGCCATTATCCCTTCTAGGGCCTTGTGCTTTTATATACAATCCATAAAATCCATCTCATTCGAAAGACTTTGTAAGAATGACCTATTTTTCTCTGCTCAAAATCACACAAAAATTTCTTATTACAAATGGAGTCCCCGTTCATTATAAGAAAACCTCCTTCCCTGTCTCCCGTTAGTTCACTCCTGAGTCAAAGGTTTTGGGTCATTTTAATTAAATGTGCTTAAAGTCAGCTTTTATATTTTGTTTTTACTTTTACTAAAGACCCTGGTCTTTTTATACTATTCCTACAACTAGATAGGGTTAAGAGCAGGTTATTTTAAGTTAGTAGTTTCTCTTTTCATACAAGGAATCACCTAACCCAAGCAACTTGTCATAGGAAACTTTATCATAGCTGGACTCTGGTTTGGTTTGTGTTTTGTTTTAATCATCTAAATTTCTTAGGACCCAGATCTTGAAGACCAAAAGGTTTTTCAAGAGACAGAAGATACAGAAAATTCAACCTGCAGCGCACTTTAAAATAGTCTTACCATTAGTTTCACTTACTTGCTGTAGAGCCAGCCATAGTGACTTTTAAATATATATTCAAAGTCCCTTTAAAAAATCAGTTTAAGTATGAATAAGACTTTACAAAAATAAAAAGCATTTTTTGAAGTAGAAGCTATTAGTAATCTTCTACCCTTCAGGAGCTAGTATAGATAACAATCTGATTTGAAATAACTACTAATTAGTCTGGCATATGTAGCAGTTTAATTTTGAAATCATTTAAATAGCCTGTGTTTCTCTCATAGGTTCAACTCATTTTCATGCTGGCATGAGAAGATAATCCTTTGAAACATCATGAATAGAAGTGATTTTAAACAAATTCCTTTTGTAAATCAATGGTTCTTTTGTGCTTTTGTATTGTGGGTATTCAATGGGACCAATACGAACACAGCTTATGATTGTATACGAATCCCTTGCCAGCACATGAAAACAAACTGGAATTTGTACATATAAGCATTGTGTGTGTATTCATGCACAATAATCATTAAATTACATGTATATCTGTGGAATGCTAATTTAAATGATTAAATTATAAACCTTATGTATTTATCAAATGGGTGAAAAGATTAAACTTTTACGCATTATGACACTGCTGAATGTGTAGCTTGGGGTGTCCTGCACTTTTCTTATAAGGCTACTGAAGTTACATGTTTCTGCCTAATATATTTGCTACTGGTGATGATGACAGATATCACTTGTAGAGACCTATTTTTGTATAATGGTAGAAGTTTTGAATTTTATGGGGTATTTTGTCAAGTACTGAAATAAAAATGACTTCACCATTTTAACCACACTGTATTGGAACCCTCTTCATTTTTAACTGAACCATAATTCTTGGTACATGTCTCAGGCTGCTATAACAGAGCACCATATACTGGGTGCCTTATAAATAACAGAAATTCGTTTTGGAGGCTGGGAACCGGATTTGGTGACTGGTGAGGGTCTGCTTCCCGGTTCATAGACTGCCATCTTCTTGCAGTCCTCACATGGCAGAGTGGTCAAGAGAGCTCTCTGAGGTCTCTCATAATCCTGTTCACAAGAGTTCTACCATGCTGTGCTCGCCTCCCAAAGGCCCCACTGTGAATACCAACAAATTGGGGATTGGGTTTCAACATAGGAACTTGGATGGGAGGACACAAACATTCATTCTGTGGCAGTGCATATCATCTCATTACTTATCTGAAATATGTAGGACTTAGAGATTCAGAAAGTTGTCCTAATCTTATCGATACTACTGGGATTTTTCTTTCTGTAAGAAAAAATTCTCCATATGCCTTTGTATCAACTTTATAAAGTATTTTTTAAAAAACTGTGTTGGTATTTTCATGAGTAATCCTTATTTGCCCAATTATATATTTAGTGTTATGTCCAAAGATGTGGCCTCACAAAGCTATATTTATGAAGATAATGTAGAATTCATTTGACTCAAATCTTAAATTTTATTAACAGAATTAAACAGTATTTCTAAGCCAAATCCAGATTGGGAAACTCTCAGAGATAATATAAATCTTAATGTTATTTCTTAGCTAGAGTCCTCTCATAACATGCAGCTCACTAAAACAGCTAGAGTAGTATTTGATGCTTATAACCAGAGAATTACCATTGAATATTCTGATTTATACCAACACAAACAGGCTATGGACACAAGATCTTGAAGATTTCACATTATCTGTGTTTTCCATGTTAGCAGCTGAGTTCTAATAAGAGTTCTAGAAATAACAAATGTTTTCTAAAGCAGACAGCTGAAGGTGAGGGTTGTGAGTGAAACCTTCCATTGCTTGCTACACAAGACTATTCTGCTCCGTGGGAGAATGGAGAAAGCAGATGGACAGATGCTCTGAGCAATCTCATTTCATTCCCATTGTTTGACCATCAGCCCTCTTATGACATTAGGCCTCTGCAGTCAACTTGTTAATGTTTCTCAATAATTAGTTTGTGATTAAAATCTAAATCTGTAAGTCTAAAACTATTCACTAACAAAGACTAGCCTTACCTCAGAGTTTTAACTTTTTTTGTGCCATGAACTTCTCAAGCTTTCTTGTGAAACTATGGGGTCCTTTTCTCAGAATGCTTTTAAAGACAAAATATATAGGATTGTAAAGGAAACCAATTATGTAATAGTCAAACTTTAAAAAATTTTTGAGATACAATATGTAAGTTTGAAGATCCAGTGACAGATCTAACAACTACCATAATTTCAAAGTAGCGATGAGAGTAAAAGATATATCAAAAGTTCTATAACATCTATATATCAATGTGATTTCTGTTCCGAATCATGGGCACTGCTAATAGTAGTTTGTTGCCTAAATTTGTAAGTAAATACCAAATTACAGTTTGAAATTAATACAAGAACAATTTTTTTCCCATCCAAGTTCCTACATTCCTGAATTCTCACTGAAGCACATAAACATTATAATTTGTGAATACAGACTTTACTTTTCTCAAAAACAATTTTAATGTGAAAAACTGTAACAGCAGAGAGTTTAACATGAGTCTTCCAGCCTCCTGGAAGGAGCAAAACAAAACTATTACATACATAAGGGAAAAAATATTTTGGCCTCATCTAGTAAAAACAGACTGTAGTCAAATTACAGGTATAGAGACAAGCCCCCAGTTATCATTTGAGTTGGTTCTTGAACACAGCCTTCACAAAATGTGACCAGTGATACTAATTTCAAGGACTCTGCTTCCTATTGCCCTTCAAGTCAGAGTTCCATGAACTCAGATTTTATATTTTAAAAGAAAGCTTATTGACCTAAATTAAGGTTTAATAAATGGAACAGAAAATTCCTAATTATATTCTGGAGAGGAAGCAGGGAACCATCTTGAGCCAAAGAAAAAAATTATTCCTTAGGGACTTTATTTTGGATTTTCACACAGATGTGACCATGTAGAACCAGATACAAACTTATCAGGTAGGTATTTAGTAATTAGATCAAGTTACACAAGCAGTCTTTAATATTAATAATTATTTTTTAAGAAATATAATTAAGTCATTGTCATAGACCTCTCTCAATTTCCTGTGGGACAGTGCTTCCTAAGGATATATTTTTCAACAACATAGCTCTATCATGGCTAAGTATCATCATACCCAAACAATTAATAGGATTCTCTTTTATCCAAGGCTTTAAATATGAGTCTATTCTCTACCCACCCATCCTCACATATACAAGCATTACCCAGTAAATGAATAAATAACCTAAGGCTACCAAGTATCTCATTGGGCTTTTATACTTTAAGATCTAGTCCAAGATCGAATACCCTTAACTTACTTGGCAAGAGCTACATATGCTCTTAAAATTAATACCTGAAAATTGTGTTTAGAATCTGCCAATTACCAAGATGCCCCCAGTTTTTTACTAATGAGAGCTTGATTTTCTTCAATTAAGCAGATGTAGTAAATATCCATCGTAAAACTATCGGGAAATATCTGAAATGCCATCAGATTTGATGTAACCTTTTAGTTAAGAAAATATAAAACCTTTTAGTTAAGCTGGCTGTCTTAAAATTACACACAAAGTACACAAAATTGTTTCATAAACTTCATTCTCCAAATGCTTTTGCCGTTTACAGTGATGTTTCATGTATTAGTTCCTTGTTGCCTTTTTCATTTTGATCTTCGTTTGTATCGGATAACTGGGTTTTCAGGAGTGTGAATCATGGTTGTATAATTCACAGTGGGAAAATATCCATCAATGAGATCAAATTCATATAAACGAAGCATAGTGGACCAAATTGTCTTGATTTGCACATAAGCAAAATTCTCTCCAATACAACGATGACGCCCTGTAAAAAAAAAAAAAAAAATCCTAAGAATCAGTTGGAATTCTTTCTCATTTTTAGCCTGGAGTGATAATAGCTACAGGTTGGGTGAAAAGCAGATATACAGATATTATAATAAAAAGATGACATATTCTTTTCACAGAAAACAAAAATATAAATAGTTAATAAAAATCCTACGAGATTTTCAACATCTGTTTTTAGGGGAAATGGCACTTGGGTAATTATAAAATGACTTTTCCAGTCACTTTTTATCTATCCAGGTTAAATATATGTAAGGTTGATGTACACGGACAGTGGATTAGTAGTTACCAGAGAGAAGGGCAGGGGGGTATAGAGGAGAAAAAAGGGTCAAATATTTGGTGACAGAGGAAATTTAACTTTAGGTGGTGAACACACAATGCAATATACAAATGACTTGTATTACTGAATTGTACACTTGAAACCTATTTAATTTTATTAACCAATGTCACCTCAATAATTTTCATTAAAAAAAAATAAATATAAGTCAGGTTGAAATATACGATGCTAATCTAGTTTGGGAATATACTAGAATAGCACTACCTTCTGTCCCAAGAGAGCCCTAGTTAAAAGTTAATATGAACCTTCCAATCAAAACTTTAAATGCCATTACAAATGATAATGGAAGATAAAGGGATTTAATAAACCCAATATAGCAACACATACTGACATCAAAATTTAAAAGGTCATATACACATTAACTGACAAGCTGATTCTAAAATGCATATAGCAATGCAAAGGACCTACAATATGCAAAGCCATCTTGAAAAAGAAGAGCCAAATTGGAGGACTTCAAATCTGGCTTCAACAGTAAAGGTACAGCAACTGTACTATTGTGATTTGTAATAAGAAATATACATTTGGTCTTCCTCCCACTCTAGGCACAGAGCTCCTGAAACCGTTGGGATTTCTTAAGTGAAAAGAACAATGAAGGGGATAGGAGCAAGGAGCCTTTTGTTATTCATAACAAGCACCTTTCAGCCACACTCAGTTTGTTAATGAGGTGACTTTTGGAAAAGCCCCTCAGAATGGGGGCCGACTGCCAGGGGAACCAACTAGGTGGTGAAATGGTTAGAACTTTCAGCCCCACCCCCTGACCTGCAGAAGGGAGAGGGGCTGGAGGTTGAATTAATCACCAGTGATCAATGATTTAATCAATCATGTCCATATAATGAAGCCCCCATAAAAATCCCTAAAATATAAGGGTTCGGGGAGAGACTGTTCAGAGAGCTTTCAGGTTTGTGAACACGTGGAGGTGCTGGGAGGGTGGTGTTCCCAGAAAGGGCATGGAAGCTCTGCACTCCTTCCTTCATACCTTGCCCTATGTATCTATTCAGTCAGGCCGTTCGTGAGTTGTATCCTTTTACAATCAAACAATAATCTAGTAAGCAAACTGTCTTCTGAGTTCTGTGAGCCACTATCAAATTATGGAACTCTAAGAAGGGGTCTGAGAGAACCTCAGATTTATAGCCAGTTGGTCAGAAGAACAGGTGACAACCTGGCCTTGCAATTGGCATCTGAATTGGGGTAGTGGAACAGTCTTGTGGGACTGAGCCCTTAACTATGGGGTCTGTGATAACCCAGAAATTATTGGAATTGTAGGAACCCAGCTGGTGTCCACAGAGAGAACTGGTGTGGGAAAAACACCCACACATTTGCAAGAATGTCCCTATTAGGAAAGTGAAAGATATTTGTAAATACACATGAATTATTTTGACAAGCACAAATTTCATCAGGACAAACATTTCAAATGTAAAATGTAATCAATCATCTATCTTACCAGCTCCAAATGGCACATAGGCAAACTTCTCTCCTGATGCTGGATTGTCCTGTAAGTAGCGATCAGGATTAAAGTCCAAACGTTCTATCCATGAGTCTTTAAGTCTTTGATTGACAGTGGGAGAAACACACACCTGATGTCCTGGAGGAATGGTATATCCTGCCACAGTCTACAAATGAGAAAGCAACACATTTCATTAGATAATTTAAAAACATTTAATCAGATAATCAGGTCATTGTGTAATAAAGCATTAATATAAATGAGATATATATATTTAAAAACTAGATTTAGGCCAACTAAAACTATTTTAATAAGATGATTTCCAAGTGACCCAATATTGGGCTAGAAATATATACACAAATAAAAATCCAAAAAATTCTCATTCTGAAAATCAACTTTTTGCTAAATAAAAACTGGCAGCATGGAGGGAGAAATCTAGCCAAGAGACTAACCTGAGGAGTTTTGGCCATTCTCATCATGGTCATTATAGGAGGTCGAAGTCTTAATGTTTCTTTTATACAGCGATCAAGTAAATTTAGATCTTTGAGCTAAAAAGAGAAAACACTTCCTGAGTTCTACAATATTTAACATACTTCAACAGTATTTTAAGTTAAATATTTTATAAATTTTATTTAGTTAAGTAAAAATTATTTTAACTTCTGGGTAATTACAAAATAGCTTAATTTCTGGGTTCAGATGCAGACGCAACTGGTTCAGAGTAGCCGGGATTATCTTGTTCTATCACTGTCCATGGTCAACAAGGAAAAGGAGGGCAAGGTAACAGGAAGGCAATCACCCTGAAGAATGGCATAGTAAGGACCTGTAAAAATTCACTCATCTAAGAAAAACACTAGCAAATATCACTAATGTCAGTTTTTTCAAAACCTGTACACAAATGTTTAGAACAGCATTATCGATAATAGCCAAAAGGTGGAAACAAATGTCCATCAACTGAAAACTGAATAAATAAATGTAGATAATCCATATAACGGAATATTACTAGTCAATAAAAAGACTGAAGTACTGACGTACATTACAACATGGATGAACCTTGAAAACATGCTAAGTGAAAGAAGCCAGTCGCAGACTACATATTGTATGAATGTGATCATTTATATGAAATGTCCAGAATAGGCAAATCATAGAGACAAAAAGTAGATTAGTAGCTGCCAAGGGAAATGGAGAGTAACTGCTAACAGGTACTGGCTCTCTTTTGGAAGTGATGCAAATGTTCTAAAAATTGTGATGGTTTCACAACTCTAAGGTATATTTCAAAAACAGTGAAGTGTACACTTTAAATGGATGGATTTTATAGTATGTGAATTATGTATCAACTAAACTATTATTTTAAAAGTTACTAAAATCAGGAATCAGAGGAGACGTTACTACTGACCTCACAGAAGAAAAGTTTATAAGAGAATACTATAACAATTGTATGCCAACAAATTAGGTAATCTAAATAAAATGGAAATATTCCTAGAAAGACACAGACTATCGAAACTCTCAAGAACAGAACATATAAATATACCTATAACAAACAGATTGAAATAATTTCAAAAAGCTTCCCACAAAGAAAAGCACAGACCTAGATGGCTTCTCTAGTGAATTCTATCAGACATGTAAAAATGAATTACCACCAATCGTTCAGAGACTTCCAAAAAATAAAATAGAAGGGAACACTTCCAGATTCATTCTATGAGACCTGTACTACTCTGATACAAAAATCAAAGACATCACAATAAAACTACAGACCAATATCCCTTATAAACACAAATGCAAAAATACTCAACAAAATACTAGCAAACCAAATCCAGCATTAGGACATTCCAGGGAGGACTATAGGGAAGTTTCAAAAAATGAAGCTAACCAATTTATAATACATAGAAAACCTCAAATTGTCCCTTCATTTTTCAAAATTTATTTTTTCACTTATCTCCCCATTCCCCTCCCCTTTGGCAACCATCAGCTTGCTCTCTGTACCTAATGGTCTATTGCTAGTTTCTTGATTCTGTTGTTTTATTTTTCTAGATTACACATATAAATGAAATACAGTATTTTTTTCTCTATTTCACTTTGCACAATACCCTCTAGGTCCATCCATACTGTCACAAATAGCAAGATTTTATTTCTTATTGCCAAATAATATTCCATTGTATATATGTACCATATCTTCTTTATCAATTCATTTATCAGAGGAAAACCTAGGTTGCTTCCATACTTTGACTATCGTAAATAATGCTGGAATGAATATAGGGGAGCATATCTTTTTGAATTAGTGTTATGGATTTCTTGGGATAAATACCCAGAAATGGAATCGCTGGATCATATGATAGTTCTACTTTTAATTTTTTGAGGAACATTTATACTGTTTTCCCAGTGGCTGTACCAATTACCAATTTACAATCCCACCAACAGTACATGAGGGTTCATTTTTCTCCACATCCTTGCCAGAACTTGTTATTTGTTGATTTTTTGATGATGGCCATTTTGACAGGTGTGAGGTGGTATCTAATTATGGTTTTGATTTGCATTTCCCTGATAATTAGTGATGTTGACCATCTTTTCATATATCTGTTGGCCATCTGTATGTCCTCTTTGGAGAAATGTCTATTCAGGTCCTATTGGTGTCAAATTGTATAAATTTCTTACATATTTTGGATATTAACCCCTTATTGAATATATCATTTGTGAATATCTTCTCCCATTTGGTAGGATGCTTTTTCATTTTGTTCATGGTTTCCTTCACTGTGCAAAAACTTTTTCGTTTGATGTGGTCTCATTTGTTTATTTTTGTTTTTATTGCTCAAACTGTCCCCTTTAAAAATTAGCCACAGTGAAAATGAAAATCCAACAAACCTGGTCGTAAGTTAAAGGAGGCAGATCCTCTCCACTGACTGTTTTCTGTTCTAAATAACATTTTTCTTGAAGTGTTTTGTCTCTAGCCAAAAAGAAGCCCATCCAGGCACTAGTAGTTGAGGATGTATGCTGCCCTGCTAAGAGCAATCCAATAAGCATGCCTGCTACTTCATCATCTGTCAAAGGACGCCCATCCCTATAGAAAGAACCAAACACACAAATTTAACATTTTGGCAGACATATTTCATGCCTCATCCTTTAAATAAAGAGTCAAAATGAATAAATTTTTCAGGTATAATAGTTTCTTGCATTTGCCCATCACAAGTCAGAATTTTTTTTTCCATTAGGGAAAAGAGAGAGACCAATAGAAAATACGATTTTGATTACAAAAGACTTCATTACAGTTTATCTAGCAAATTTTTCACCATGCATAGTCACTGGGATTCCACTAAGGTACAAGATCCCGAAATTTATGTCTCATCCATTTAAAAAGTCCAAAGGTCATAGCTATTGATCTTGCATTACTTTTTAACTGGCTATATTATTTAACTATGTTTTAATGTGTAATTTCCTGCTTCAGCTTAATACGTGATCTGAACAGCTCTTACTTGTAAGTAGACTCTAGTAAAGTTTGGAGAATGTCATCAATTTTTTCTTCTGACTGTCTGCGTTTCTGAATTGCCTTATAGAAAATATTCTTGATCTCTCGATGAGCTCTGTCCCTGCGTCTGTAATTCAAAGAAGAAAATAACTTCAAAAAATAAAGTAGTACTTTCTGGCATCAAATTCATTTTGAAAATAACCGGGACCTAGCTTAAAGCAACCTTATTTAACTTTGTTGACTCTAAAATAATTGACAAAACTCAGAACCAAGAGAAAAAAAAAAAGGCACCATGAAAATTATATTGTTAGGAATTTCTAGGGCCTCTTAGGCAAGAAATGTATTTTAACATATAGATCTCTGATTCTTAACATACTACCTTTGTTCTACTAAAGGTCTAAAGCAAGACTCAAATGATTATTCCTTTAGAATCATTTCGGTTTAATAGAAAGCAGAACACTCTTTTAAGTTAACATGAAATTTAAATTTTAACCAAATTCTGGAAGCAGATGAGAATCACTCTGGTTCTTCAAAAGAATCTAGGATTTAAATAAACCTGAGATTTACAGAGGATTGTCTAAAGCTAGGACTTAGGCTATGACTACAGCATACAGGGTTTGATTCTACTTTTCACTTTCTAAGAAAACATAGTTTTATAGAGGGTAAAAATACTAGGAAACTCAGAAAACAAACTTCACTAGGTAATAGGTACTGTAAGTGTTTTATATGAATTACTCACTTTGACCTCCTGCAAGGTAGATGCTATTATCCTCATGTCACAGACAGCTGCATAAGATCACACAGCCAGTGAGCAGTGGAGCCAAACTTTAAAATCAGGCAATTTGACTACCTTGCCCCTATTTAAACAAGGACTTCGAATAAAAATTCCTACACTGCATCATTTTTTTAAGACTGCCACCAGAAATCAACCGAGAAAGCAGCAGAGTCCGGAAAACACTGTTTAAGAAAGTGAATGGAATATTTTGGTTAAATCTGTTGTTTCAGGTAAGACAGAAAAAAGACTAGGCTGGAAAGACTAGTAAAAGGCCTATCATACCTAGCTCAGGAGTTTCTGACTTCATCCAGGAGATAGGGAAGGTGGAAATAGGCTCAATACACATTTATGGAGAAATTACTATCCCAGGGCTGTGCTGGATTTTCTAACGTAATATGGATAAAAGCATTCTGAAAACTGCAAAGCTCTCTTACAAGTATAAGGTTTTAATGAGTTCCAGAGAACCTCTCCTGGCTCTCTCCTTTGCTCCCACCCCTCTTTATTCTCTAAGTGGATAAAAGTACAGAAACGGAAGGAAAAGTATCAATTTGATGCCTCTATTTGATGCCTCTCTATCTCTCACTACTTATTAAAAGAATCAACAAAGGTACAAAAAGCCTCCTAATATGAAAGACATTAAGCTACACATCAAGTCCTATGAGCAACATTTCTTTGTATCACAGATGGTCCCTGCCCTTTAGGTGATCACAGTACAGCACACAAGGAGACAAAGAGAAAATTAAAGGCACTGACACGTCAAACAAAGAAATTTCACAATATACTACAAAACAGTCAAATACTTTCAAACAAGTGCTTCGAGGGCTGTATCACTTTTAGGTAGAGTTCAGAGGCTTTCCTTAATACAAGGAATATGTGAGATAAGATTTTAAAATATAGACAACAAATTACTTTTTTAATAAACTGAAACTTACCTTGAATGAGCTCATTATATAGTTTATATAAAGAAAATTTGTCCTGATTTCTCACAGAAGAATGGGGGCTCATAATATCCCCCAATTTATTGTTTTATGTTTAATTTTTATCTTACCAAAGCATACCAACACTACAGTAATTATACAGAGTTAAATCACCAAATATAGTTTCTTTATCCATACCTGAAACTAGGCAAAGGGAGCCAAGCTGGCAACAGCCAGGCTGCATGGCTAAAACCTCCATCCAAATCTGCATACAGTTGTGCCACCTTTTCATTGAGCTGACTTCTGATTTCCTTTCCATGTAAACAATGGCTAGCTGTTAAAATTATAAGCTCAGAAAGAGCTTCAAACAAATCTACAGGAAAAAAAGATCATTCCCATTAATATTGCCAAAAATTATTTTGGAATATTCTATTTTCTTAGAGATCTAAAATAACTGTGAAGGAAAACTGAGAATAAAAACAACTCGAGAACCTATTCATACCATCCAAAAAGCTTATAGAGAGATATGTGGCTGCCCTACTACACAAAACAAAGAGAGGCAAGAAACCAAATGATGGGAAGTACCCCAACCCTCTGAACAACCAAAGTCGATGCCACAAAGGCATCTCGAAACCTCACTCATGAGCCCTTCACCTTGAAAAGATCAAGATAAAAATTAATGAGTTCAAGGTCACGGTATAACAAAAGCAGCAAAAAGTCTATTTAGTGCATATGAGGACAATAATGAGGTGCTTCCCAAGGAATAGCAGTCCTAAAACCGAAGAACAGATTATTTCCCAGGTCCAAAGTGAGTACGTCAGGACTGAAAATTGGAAGTATTGACCATGTATAAAAGAAAACTGTAACTAATCACCAGCTGGCATACCCTAACACTGGAGACAGGTTCATCAGGCCAGCACACTTCAATGACACTTAAAGTTATAAAAATTATCCAATCAATGCCCCACTCTTTAATTCCATGTTCACCAAATGAACTTCCAATCATCATCTGGCTTTCCAATTAGATTTACCATCAAAGAGAAGTTCAGAAAATATTCTGGTGTTCTTGGTGCTATAATGTCTCATTCGTATTTAGTAAATAGTTGGCATTCTAGATGGTTAGAAATACTATATCAACTTGAGGTATATATATTTTTTTAATAAAGTTTCTGGACCTTTTATAGAGCCAAAGACCAGACCCAGATGTGGTGACCTACACAAAGATCTTAATGTCTCGTAGGCAGAGGTTGCTTCCTGTTATGAGGATGGCAATTGTCTCAGAAGGCAACACTTATTGCAGTCTAATATAAAGACTGCATCACAGAAACATCCAAAGAAGGTCATGTTAAATACACAATATAATGCAAGAAAGTATATAATACATTTTAAAAAACTTCTACTGAAAATGACTAAATTCAAACTTTTAATAAAGGTAGAGTAAGCTCATATATTTAAATTTACTTTTTTTGTGGAATAAATCATTCCCATATAACCTCGGATAAATAAGATTATTACATATATAATTGTTTAGACTTTTACTTGCCCATTAGGGATAAAAAATTGTTTTATTAATTTAAAATGATCTTGCAAAATTTTTATATTCAGTTTACTCCAAAATCTACTCATGAATCATTTTTATATTATTTGTACAAATGAGCTGAGTAATATGCATGTTACTGAGCCATTTTAAGGTTTTGCTAAGTGAGCAGCAATAATCACTTCCTCTCAGGTCTTTTTAACTCTATGGTAATCATAACATGTTCTTTCTGTTAAACCTACGGTGGTTTTACATATGTTGTAGTTTGATTTTTATATACACACACATATTCTTAGGTTTCCAGTCAGAAAAGTAGAAACATTAGCAAAAATACAAAGCCGAAATGTTTTGCTTACTTTTTTCTCCACTTTCTCCCCAACTTTGAAAGTATTCCTTTGTTTCTTTTTCAATTATAGAAACATGCTGTCTAAAATGGGCTATGTTAAGGCCACTTTTTAACATTTTCTTCTGCTCCAAGAAAATCTTAAAAAAATTAAGAATATACAGCATTAAAACACAATTTTGTTTTATCACAAGATCTATGTGGGTTATTATTACTCTGTAACACTCAAGAAAAACCTTCTAAAAAAATTGAAAATAAAAGTAGTAAAAAGATTTTTAGAAACTACACCAGATGTGGCAAACTTAGAACTTTTGTGCACAGATCTGAAGTAACGTGTAGAAGACACTTGTTACACTGGCCCTAGACAAATGATGAATTAAGAATCCCACTTCCTGCTTTCCTTCCTTACATCCTTTCCCATTCCTGACCCCAGGGCTTCCTTTTCCTATTCTGTTATCTTCTAGTCTTCCAAGCCAACCCAGAGGGCAACACAGTCTCCCAAAGGTCCATTATGCTTCGATATTATTTTTATCCTCCTTCACATATTCTCCTATTCTATTCCCAAATATCATTCCTCACTGACATTAGCTTAAATTATAATATAGTCCTAATAAAATAAATTCACACTAAGACAACTAATAGTTTTAACCCTTTGAGGCTTTTCTATTTTAAGAATCTAATAAGCTGTGTGAAAAGACGCATATATTTTCCAGGGCTCTTTCTTTTGCCCTTGAAGAGAGCTATTCATTCTCCCACATCTCTCCCATCCCGAGAAACAGCACTTAATGTCAACTTCTAACTACCATACGAGAGTATTGGGTAATGCGCGCTACATTCACAGCCAGAGCCCACCCCCAAGCAACTAGGCCAATTATCTAATTTGGGTTACTTCAACTTGCAGCACTTTAATGTTTGACTTTAGTGGGGAAAAGAAATCATATAAACTTCTAAAGCCAATAGTCTCTAGCTTAGAAGAGCTCTTACGCTATTCAGGCAGGAGTAGAAAGGTAGAAGGCCCTCGGATATGAAATAATGGGATTTTCTTGTTACACTCTCAAATCAAATCCCAATGAGCTAAGTTATCATTCATTTATTTCTTTAGGAAGGCCTTTAGAATTGCTTAGCCCATGCCAGCAACTATAAAACAAAATACCCATTCTTTGTCAGTTACCCATGGCTTTTCTTCTTTTAAATGTCTTATGATTCTTCAGATTTTTAAACCAAAGAATAAATTGTTTCTACATTTTAAATGTATGCTATTATACCACTAGCTAAAATTATTACGGAACAGATTTTCTTGAAAATAAGTGTCACCTACTGGATTAGGCACATCGTATGCAACTCCCTTCCCAAACACAGGTGTTGTCAGACGACTGTAGACATCTTCTGCATTCAGGTCTTCATTTTTACTATTAAAAAGCAGTGCAGCGGCATCACTTCCCAGAAGGTAAGTAAAAGTCTTGCCCACCATGGTAAAACTAAACACAGGTCCATACTAAAGAGAAAAAAGTACCCATATACTGATGTTACCAAAAAGTATGTAGCACTAAGACACTAATTTCTTAAATCACAAAACAATAAGTTGTTGAAAATAAAAACATTCATAAATCTTAATGCAATTCTTCTCTCAGTCTTTGCCTAAATTTATAACTATGTTCATCTAGTTGCAAATGGAATATAAATAAAACTTCTTTTTTCACTGTTTATTTTGAAAATATTTCTACCTTATACACAGACATTATAATGTTAATAATTACTTATTCTTCCATTATTAGACATATGTGTGATGTGTCAGTTTTTTTTACTTATTATATATAATTCTGCAAAAAGTATTTTTGAGAATATAGATTTCTTTTCCTTGGTTAAAAATTAATTTACAGGAGTAGCCAAAGGATATAACCTTCCATATAGTACTTGCTGTGTGAAGACACCAGAAGTTTATTTAGTTAACAGTTTTACCACTATCTCACCAACACTATGCTTTAGTTCACCTCGTCTATAAAATGGGAATAGTAATAATACCTACTTCATAGAACTGTTAGGAAATATATCTTACATATTAGAATGTATCCATATATATTATATATTATATGCATATAATAAATATATTAGAGTAAAATAAATATATGTTAGAGTACCTTGGCCATAAGTGTTTTCTCTAATTATTATTATTATTATTATTATTAGCATGGACTTAGAAATCAAAACATATGTAAATCCTAGCTTGGCTACTAGCTACTAATGAGCTTAATAACAAATTATATAACCTGTTTCTCAGTTTTGTCATCTATAAAATGAATAAACCTGAAGGGGGTTTTGTTGGGCTTTAATGAGATAATCTATATAAAGCAGTAAGTGCTGGCCCAAAGTAAGTGTTTTATAATTATTAATGTAAGAGGAAGAAAAGAGAGTAGGATTATATAGCCATATTAGCCATAAATACATTTGTATGTTTGAAATTGGGAATATGAGGGAGCACCCATTGGATAGTTTTTAATCTCTTTAAAGAGGAGGCAAAGTTATTTTGGTATGGAAGATTCAGGAGCTTAGAAAAATAAAGGTTTGAATCAGTCACTGTTGTGAGTGGGAATATAAGTCAATCACAGGAACATAATAGGATTGTCGAGCAGTGCTCAAAGTTCTTTAAGGTAGGCAGGCAATCATGAAATTAGGAAAGAACTAATTTGGTACAAGGAAGGAGAAAATGACTAACAGGCTCCCTTCCAAGGTTGGGTTTTACCAGGTAAACACAATGAAAAGATCCAGGGGCAAGGAAATTAAGGTACTGGCAAAAGTATAACTCCTATGATGGACCATAGTCCCAAAGTAGAACAAAAAGAAAAGAAAGAAAGAAGACTGATAGACCAGGACAAAGTAAATGGAACAATGGACTAAAAGACCTAATGAGATCAAAGAGTGGTTACAGTAGAAGGAGTTGCACAGGCAAACCAGGAGAAGCTGTGGTCTAAGAGTAGGTGTCTACATTCATAGTGTGGAAGTGAAAGTTAACAGTAATGACAAGTCTTAAGGGGAATGTGGAGTAAATGGTTGAATTGGTATAGGAAAGCTCACTGGAGCGGAGAAGAGCAGCGATCTGAGTGACCACAGAGTTGTGTGGGTCATCCAAGTAGAACTGAAGTCATAGAAGACGGGTAGTGCAGGTTAGAGAATTCCACAGATGTGTGGTTAAGAAGGGTAGATTGGTATTAATTTCAACTATGACCACCGAATACAAAATTTATGCCAGTGATTTTTAAACCATAGTTGCCAGAACTGCAGGTTTCCTCAGTAGTATTTCAGAGATCACCCCAGGACATGAGAAAAGCTAAAAGGGTCTCCAAGGGCTTTTAAACAGGAACAGTTCCAATTTTATGTTTCCTATACTAGGGATAAGCATAAGACTACAATTTTTTTAATGTTCTGCCATTTAAAAGGAAAGTTTGAAAAGCACTGATTTCCTCTAATCATTTGGAAGACTTACCTTCTCATATGCGTTTTCTAGGAATTCAATTGGACTTTTCCCAAACGCTATGGCATGCCCGAGGAACGGAATTGGAGAGAAAATGTATGGTGGACTTTTCTGCAAAATAAAACAAAAACTTTCAGTTCACATTTCATTTTAGGAGAAAAATCTAGTTTAAGTTTCATGATCAAATAAATGAAATTTGCCGTTAATACTAAAAAGTTACTCCGAAATGCAGCATCAAAAGTAATTAAAAACAGACAAAATGCAGATATCTTAGGAGAGTATCCATGGTAAAAAGAACAAACTCAAAATATGGTATAAGATGACTAGACAAACACAAAGTCATTGCAATTATAAATGCTGAGCATGTCCAGAATATGTCCAATTTTATTGGTGGCTATTGGCAACTTTCCTCACCATTAGTAGCAAAAAAAGAATAGAAAAATCAAATTATAATTTCTTCACCACTTATTTACCCTACTACTCATAATTTTAGTCCCACAATCTTGCCTAAAGAAGGTATAGGAAAAAAACATAGTAAGTTGAGGTATAGAAAATAAAGAGAATGTTTAAGAAACAATGTTTATCAGTAAACAGAACACATCTCATGCATGCTTCTTTAACCGCAAATAAACTAAATCCACTGATTTTTTTTTAAGAGAGTAGATCTGCTCTAGCAGGAACTCTAGTATTCACTATAAAAGGTACTCGAGATGCCCCAAAACGAGACTTGCAGATTATAACATTAAGTCTTCTGGAAATCAAACTTGCAATGATGAAGAAGCATTACTCCTCAGATCTTTGGTAGTCTCAAATAGTAAGGAGCACTGAAAACTCACTTTTCTGATAACAGTAACAATCTTAAAATACTAAAGCTACCTTTCTTCCCAAAGATAAATACTATTTCCTCAAAACTCCAAATAATACTGCTTCTTGCCTGTTATGATTCAAACAAAAATTATTTTAAAAACTACTTGGTCAACAGTTTGTACATTCCATTGTCAGTAAAAGGGTAGCTTTCAAAGCTACTAGGTGTTGGCTGGTTAAGGATGCATTCATCAAATATATTACAGAAATATGAAACCAGTGGTCAATAAAACCACTAAATTAGAGAAACGGATTTTATTAGCATTATAGGAAGTTCCCTACAACAGTCCAATTACTCCACTCTACCAAACCATACCGATACAAATCGCAGTAGGGGCAATGCCTCAAGAAACTGAACCACCCAAGGGCAGTCACCAGGATCATGGGCAAGCAGGGCAGCAGCTAACAAGAGCACCTCAACCAGAGCCCCCACCAGGCCCGCAACAAACCTAAGGCTGCCAGTACGGCCACCAGGGCGCTCAGCGCCACAGCCTAGGCCACCGCTGCCAGTCCTGAAACGACCATGAAGGTCACCAGTGCCGCGGCCAGCACAGTTATCACTATGACCACAAACGCGGCAAGCACGACTCCGGCCAGGACCAGACACCGCCAAAATCAAGACCGTCCGCACCAAGGCCAGCACCCGACCCCCGGGGCTCCTGCCGAGCACAGCCGCGGTAGCCCCTCGCTAGCCATTCGGCTGCTTTGGTCGCCGCGTCCCCCGCCAGGACCCCCACGTGTGCACATACCGCCCCGGCCGGCAGTGGGGCCAGATGGCCGATGGCGAGGCGGAACAGGTAGACCAGGCTGAGGGTAAAGGCGCTAGCGATCAGCAGCATGGATAGGAGGTTGCCGCTCGTCACCTGCTCCATCGCCTGCCCTAGCACCGACCCGCCCGCCTGCAGTAAACCCAGCAACGCCATTCCGGCGGCCGCCGCAGCTGCAGTTCGCTGGGGACGCTGGAGGCCGAGGTCGCCGCCGCTCCTCCGAATCGACGGAGCGAGAGAAGCCGGCAGATGGGCGTCCGGAGGCGGCCCCGGCCCCAGGTCTCCTACTAAACCCAGTCCCACCCACTCCTCCCGCGCGCACCACCCTGTGTCACAGAACTGGGCGGGGCCGCCGCTGGTCACGCCCCTTAAATAGGACTCTATAACGGCGAGGTCTCCTTACGCCGGGAGAGAGGTCCTGGCGAGGCAAGTTGCACCTATGGCATGGGTGGTACAGAGACGTAAGAGAACGTGGGCTTAACAAGAGATCAACCCCCAAGAATCGCGGCGTCGGGGGTGCGGGCCTTCAGCACACGACGCGCGGTTGGAGACGGCGGAGGGATCTCAAGGCGAGGGTTGCGATAGGTTAGCAGAGGCGGTGCGCTCTGTGATTGCACCGCGCGCGCGTGAGGTGATCTCGGCCTATGTCGCGTCAGCCAGGCCAGTGGCGAGGGCACCGCCCCTCGCCTGGGCGTGTGGACCTGGTGCACCAGGTCCTGCTCAAGGGCTACGGAAGACAGCCCCAAATAGACGAGAAAGGGAGGATTGTGAAAGACTCCGTCCACACACTGAAGGGTGGGACGATGAGGTCAGTCGCATCCCACCCCAATAAAAACAGGTATTAATGTATGGCCATAAAGGTAATAAATCTTGGTTATTAGGTATGCTGGATTATACGGTAACAGGTTCCAAAATAAATGTATATTTTATAGGCTTTCGTGACCTATTTGAGGCAACGTTTCCCAAGAACGCTCCTTTTCTGGCCATTTAGTGGCCAGAAAGATTTTGAAGCGGGAGTTAAATCTTGCAGCCACAATCAGCCTGATTTCATCCGCTCCTTTGTTTTCAAAAAAGCACGTATATAAAATGACAACCAAATTTAGTCTTCCTTCTAGATTACTATCACAAGCTCCTGACCAGATTGATTGATTGATTGATTGACTGATTGATTGATTCAATCAACATAAGAGCTAGGTATTGTAGGCACTAAGGATACAGCAGTGACTGAGAAAACTGCAAAGCTCTCTGGGAAGGAGCAGGAATATCCATCCAGTTGTCTGCTGGACGCCTCTGCCCAGAGACCTAACATTCATCTCTCACAGTCAGTAAATGGTAAAACTAAACTCGTTATCTCTTCCCACCTGTCTGTCACCCTGCCTCTCCTGAACGCCTGTGAAGGAAGGGTACTACTATCCACCTCATTGCCCTCCTCCTTCATGCCTCACATCTAATCATTCACCAAATGCTAAAATTCCACTAGTTTATTTTAAGTTTCTTCATTTTTATTAGGTCAGGCCCTAATCATTGCTTGCCTGCGCTGCTGCAACAGTATCCTACCTGGTCTCTGCTTCCGTGCTTATCTTGATCCTCCACACTGCTGCTGTTTCTTATTTCACTAAAGCTATGTTGTAATCATCTCCATAGGTTTCCTCTCTTAGAAGATGAACTTGAGAAAAGGGATCATAGCTTTATGTTCTGTGTTTATCCTAAAACCTATCATAGCAGTTCTCAAGTTGTGGTCCATGGCCCTCTGGGGATCCCCAGGACCCTTTTTGGGCCTCTACAAAATCCAGACTCTTTATAAAAATACTCTTATTTGCTTTGTTACTGCTGGAATTTGTACTCATGATGTAAAATCAATAGTAAATAAAACTTCTGGCACCTCAGCACTAATCAGTGGTAGTCATTTTTCTATACTGCCATGCACTTGCAATAGAAAAAAAATTGCCTGTTTCACTTAAGAATGTCCTTGATGAAACTGTAGCATTAATTTTATTAAAGTTATTAAGTACATGATTCAATGAATCAGTATTTTCAATTACCAATGCATGATGTTACAAAATCATGCATGAAACATCTATGCAAAGTACAATTTAGAGCAATAAATTTTTACAGAATACAAAAAGTTCATTGATATAGTTTCCAATTGTACATTATAACTAACTTTTAAGATATTACCAGTTGTGAAGAATATCTATAATTATCTGAAAATTTTAGTAATGCATAAACAAAAAATAAATGTATATTTATATAAACTAAGAGTAATTGCTTTTAATGAATAACTACTAATCATATGGCATAAATTCTTATATATGTATATGTGTATGTACATACTTAAACAAAGCTTGGGATTTGATAAAATGACTTAATGCTCTGTTAGGTAAAAAACCTATGATTTAACAATTAATTCCATTTATGTTTTTAGGTTAACAAGATTCTGTCTGCCACTGTCAGTAACAAGTATCAAATCTGTGTTCTCATTATGTTTGTCCAGTGATTTGACAGTTAGTGCTCATGGGTTTAAAGTATATTATGAAGATAAGTGATGGTCATATAAAAGGACCATTGCCTAGTTTAAAGTAGTCAAAGCAAAATCTTCCAGGATGAAAATGGAAGAATCGCCAGGACAGAAGATACTGTTCATCCTCTTATCTCAAATCTAGTCCTGAGATTCACCTGCTTATTAATCATTAATGTGTAATAAAATGCTGGAATTAATAGGCTTTAATGTTTTATCACTGTGTGCCTAGACAGAGGGAAGTCCCTTAAATCTTCTTAGAAGATGAGACTACAAAATCACTATAGGGTTAGAGATTAATAAAAGGAAATTAAATGTGAGAATAACAGGAAACTAGGCCTGAATGGAGAGTCGGGCACTACAGAATCCCTCCTATTTTCTGTGCTCTACCTCTTTGCCAGAAAATAAATTAATCTGTCTTCTTTGTAAATTAAAGAGAAAAAAGTCCACTAAGAGACAGGAGTTGACGTCTTCCATTCTAAACCCCTTTCCACTCCCACAGATCCATTACCCCTTAACCACAGAGAGGAAAACTAAAAAGCTCTTGAACCTGAGGGTTTTTATTTAGAAGTTTGGTACAACTGCATTTGGCATCAAAACCTAAACTAATTAGAGGATATTTATAATCTGTTTATTCCATGTGGTGTGGGTACTCATGTTTCACTATGGAAATACTGTTTGATAATGGGTGGTACCCCAGGTTGTGCTGAGGGTGTTAAAAATGTACAAACTCTGCATGTTTTTCCTTTTTAAAATGTGAAAAAAAAAAATCTGATGGAAAAAATGACCTATCCTGAGGGTTTCAGATAGCAATCATGGACTTGAATGTCTTCTCTATATGATTTAACAATAAATTTTTTAGTTTATTCCCTACTTTCAATAAGAGTCCCTCTCTTACCCATAGAAATATCACATCAGATTTCAGCTTACCTCCCCAGGACCATATTATCAGAATGCATCACACCAGGTCTAATATCACCATAAGAAATACAGAAATTCAGTGGCAGGGGTAATTACTTTCTAAAGTGCATACTAATTTAAAACATGAGTTTGGGGTTTGTTTGTTTTTTTCTTTTTTGTTCTGAAACAACAGAAGCCTTCTCACAGTTCTGGAGCCTGGAATACCCAGGTCAGGGTGCTGGCTGATTCAGTTCCTTGCAGAGAGCTGCCTTCCACTGTCCTCACATGTAGGGACAGGAAGCTCTGGTCTTTCTTCCTCTTCTTATAAGGACACTAGCTCTTAGGACCTTATTTAACCTTTATATTCTCACAGGCCCTGTGTCCAAAAACAGTCACATTGGGGATTAGGACTTCAGCACATGAATTTTTATCTTGATTACTGTTCCTTTCTAGTAAGTTTGAAGTGAGAAGTATGAGTCTTCTGACTTGGTAGGTCATTTTCAAGATTGATTTGTCTATTAGGGGTCCCTTGAGTTTTTATATGAATTTTAGAATCAACTTGTCATTGTCTGCAAAAAGCTAGCTGGACTTTTCATAGGGACTGCATTGAATATAGATCAGTTTGGGGAGTCTTGCCATCTTAACAACATTGTCTTGCAATCCATAAACACAGAGGTCTTTCTGTTTATTTAGGTCTTCTTTTATTTCTTTCAATAATGTCTTCTATTTCAAGCCTTTCACTTCTTCTTTTAAATGTCTTCATAACTATTTTATTCTTTTTGATGTCATTATACATGGAATTATTTTCTTAATTTTATTTCAGATTGTTCTTTGGAATTATATAAATATAAGTAATTTTTATAAATTGATCTTGTATCTTGCTATTTAACTGAATTCATTTATTCATTCTAGTAGTTTTTTAATAGATTCATTAGGATTTTCTAGGTATAAGATTGTGTCATCTGCAAATATAGTTTTATTTATTCCTTTCCAATAAGATACCTTTAATTTTTTTTTCTTGCCTAATTCCATGGCTTGAAGCTCCAGCACAATGTTAATAGAAATGGTAAGTGCAGATCCTAGAGGTGAAAGGGTGTTGCAGTTTATCAGATGACTTTCCGTGTCTATTGAGCTGATCATATGGTTTTCTGTCCTTATTACTATGTTACTTAGATTGATTTTCGTTTGTTAAACCAACATTCCTGGAATAAATCTCACCTGGTCATGGTATATAATCCTTTTTAATGTTGTTGAGTTTGGTTTGCTCATATTTTGATGAGGGCGTTTGCATCTATTTTCATAAGGGATATAGACCTGTAGTTTCTTTTCTTGTGATTTCTTTGTCTGGTTTTAGTATTACACTAGCCTCATAAAGTGAATTGCGAAGTGTTTCCTTCTCTTCTGCATTTTGGAAGAGTTTGTGAAGAATTGGTATTAATTCTTTAACTGTTCTCTAGAATTCACCCATGAAAATTTTTGAACTGTTATATCTTCCTGATAGATTGATTCTTTTATTGTCCAGCTCTTCCTAGGAATTTGGAATATATCTATGTTATCTAATTTGTTGTCATGCAGTTATTCATAATATTCTCTTATAATCCTTTTATCTCTGTAAGATCTGTGGTTTCCTACCTTTTGTTCCTTACTTTAGCAATTTGAGTTGTTTTATTTTTTCATGAACAGTATAGCTAAAGGTTTGTCCTTTTTTTTTTTTTTTTTTTTGGTCCATTTTGTCGATCTTTCCAAAGGCCAGTCTTTGGTTTTGTTGGATTTCTTTATTGTTTCTCTGTTGTGTATTTATCTCCATCCTAATCTTTATTATTTCCTTCCTTTTTCTAGCTTTCAATTTAGTTTACTCTCATTTTTCCAGTGTTTACTCTCAT